ATTTCATAGACATGAACAGGATCCTGAGTATTCCTGTTTAGGGTGGCGGTCTGTAACAATAGCTTTCCAAATGTGTGTTAAGATAAAAAGAATGGCCTGAATGAGCTGCGAGGTTACTTTTAAACCCAGGATAGCCTGGTAGGAAAAATTATATAAGCAACTGAAGAAAGGATTTAGCCACACGAGTAATTGCTCAAGTTATGAGATGACAATCACCAGAGCAGGATTTTGACCGAGCATCCACCACTGTGGTAGCCCCAGCTACCGTAATATACACTATGATACATCACTTGACAAAATGGGGAGGTTCGTGGGATATTGTTCAGCTGTAAGTTGTGACTTGGGAAAGATCTTTCTCTCTGACTTTTACCTATGAATGAACTGCAGAGATAAGAGATTTTTTGATAGCATTACGAAGTTGTTCGTATAACTACTTATTTCAGCATGATCCCGAAGAAGCCAGAGGGATCTCTTCTGACTTAGCCAACCGGTGGGGTTTCATGGTTCAGGTGTCCATGTTTTTCCTTGGCTGAAATTTCATTGCTTGCAATGTATCCTTCCAGCTTTGAGGTAGGGGGGTGAGATATATCCCTGAACGTAAGGAATCATAAGATGTTACCTTGGTCGAAGGTGTGCAGAATTAATGGATGGATGGATGGATGGATGGAACAAGAAGAAAATTAATGGAATTTTTGACATGGTACATTACTGGCGTAGCTTTGATAATGACAGGAATGTATGATAACACCCCCCTCCATCATGACTCAGATGATCTGCACTTATGTTTTTTGTTTCTGTATCTGTTTCTCATTCTGTTCAGACCTCCTCTTCCGTTTTGCTCAAAAGTTAATATTTGATTATTTATTTTATTTTGGCATTCAAACTACCCACTGAAAATTCATTTTTCAAAAATTGAAGTGGTGCTGGAAAACTAGAAATCCTTAATTTCTGTTTAGTCATGCCAGCCACATGACCATGGAAATGTCTTCGGACAGCGCTGGCTCTTCGACTTGGAAACAGAGATGAGCACCGCATCCCTAGAGTCGGATTCGACTGGCTGTCGAGCAAGGGACAGCCAGTTGTAATGGCTGATAATGGTAAGTTTCAATTGTTTAGGTATTGCTGGTTATGTTAGTTTGTGTGTAGTATAATTAGTTTTAATTTCAGTAGTTTTATATTATTCTGTATTTTGTATTATATCTATTTAATAGATTTGCTGTGTAATAATTGCTGCATAACGTTTATATTGACTTGCGTTATGATTTGTTTGTAAAATTTCAAAAAAATGTTAAATTAAAAAGAAAAGAAAATTAATGAACCGCCATGAACTGCTTGAAAGTTCGCGAACCACAAACTGGGCAAAATTAGTCATGAGCTGGTTCATGCCCATCACTACTCTTATCCTCAACGTTAAGCCGCCACCAATTCATAGCCTGATTTTGAATCTGTTTCCTCTAAAGCTAACCTCCCGCTGAGTTCGCTGTAGACCTCCTTCTTAGTATCTTTTGAATTGTCATTTGTGGTCCTGTGCTGTCACCTTCTGGAAGTAGCATATGCAACATCTAAAGGTAGGGGAACTTTCTGACAAAAACGTGAGACAACTGTATCTGCAGGGAAGTATTTGGACCGTACTCCTTACAGCAGAACCCTAGGAAAATTTCCTGAGAGTAAGACCCAATGAATAGAAGTGAACAGGATAATTAGGAGTGTAGTTTGTAACAATAGCTTTCTAAATGTGTTTTGTGATTGTAAGAATGACATGAATGAGCTGCAAGATCACTTTTTAACCCAGTGTAGCCTGCTGGAGACTGCAGGGCTATTTTTGGGTAGGAACGCACAGGAACAAAGTTCCGGCTGGCTCCTGAGTTGGCCACGCCCAGCAGGAACTCATTAGCATAATAGGCCACACCCAACAGCAGAAACTCATTAGGATTGGCTACATTAGGGGTGTGTGGCCTAACATGCAAAGGAGTTCCTGCTACAAAAAAAGCCCTGGGTTTTGACAATAAATAAGGTAAACAGAATAAGAAGGGAAAGGTGGGTGTGGCTGGATGACCACACTTCTGGTAACATGGGGGTGTGGCCTAATGTGCTAATAAATGGTGCTGTCAGGGTGTGGCCTAATATGCTAATGAGTTTTGCTGTTGGGTGTGGCCTATTATGCTAATGAGTTCCTGCTGGGCCTTTTCTACAAAAAGAGCCCTGCTGGAGAGAATTATGTTCATGAAAGCCGCTGACGAAAGGATTTGACCACATGCACAACTGCACAAGTTGTGAGATGACAATAGATTCAGGTGGGGAGCTCTGTTGGTCTGAAGCAGCAGGACAAAGTTTGAACCCAGTGGCACCTTTAAGATCAACAAAACTTCCGTGTGCAAGTGCACTCCTTCAGATATCAGATATATTAGAAAAAATATTTCTAGACTTTCCCCCCTGTAATGTTTAGTTTTTCAAGATGTAGGAGTTTTGGAGTCTGTTTACTCTCACAACAGACCCAGCTGTCATTGCAGACTAGCTGCCATTTTAACATATTCAGCAACATTCATGGACAGGAGCTGGAATGTCTTGGTCCTGGGAACATTTCCCTTTAAACGTGACATTATGAAATGCTGCCATCTACTGGTAATTATGTAAAAGTGCAGCTCTCTCACTTGAGGAAGAGCAGTTTTAATCCTTGAACAGAGTTCAATTCTGCATCCACACTTCCTCAGAGACAGGCTTTTTTTTTTTTAAATGCAGTACGATCTTTCCTCAACTACAGCCAGCTTCATCAGAAGGTGAAACAGCAATTTTTGCAATTGTACTTTGCATTTTGAGGGTAGGCTCAAAACTGACCAAAAACTCATATTTCTTGTTGAAATAACCCATGTGTGAAATCACATGAAGTGGCACAGGATTCACTGCCACAGGAAGTGGTGGCAGGTGGACGGCTTCAAAAGGGAATTAGATAAGCATCTGGAGCAGAGATCCATCAGTGGCTATTAGCCACAAGGTATAGATAGGGACTCTGGGACAAGTGATGCTCTGTATTCATTGGTGCTTGGGGGGGGTCAACAGTGGGAGGGCTTCTAGTGTCCTGGCCCTACTGCTGGACCTCCTGATGGCACCTGGTATTTTTGGCCACTGTGTGACAGAGTGTTGGACTGGATGGGCCTTTGGCCTGATCCAACATTGGCATCTCTTTTTTTTAATATGATATTTATTATTATTTGCAACAAAACATAACCAACATAACCATGGATTCCTTAACAGGGTTTACGTATCTGTTATGGGCAACAACATTCTCTCCAGTTTTCAAGCCTATCGGTTAAACTAGGCGTTCTTCTCTAACCATCTATAAAATTTTAGCCAAATATTATCAAAAGCATCATCATCCTTCCCTTGGAGCTTCGTTGTCAGATTATCCAGTTCAGCTGTTTCTGTAGTTTTAATTACAAATTCCTCTCTGGACGGTATATCTTCCCGTTTCCAGTATTTTGCAAACAAGACCCTAGCTGCCGTGAGCAGATGTGCAACATTGGCGTCTCTTATGTTCTCTTATGTTCTTATGTTCAGTAATCTCCTAACAAAGGTATATTTTTGGTGAGTACAACTGCTCTCCTTGCCAGAGGACTGGGAACAAGTCAATGCATCAAAATGGCACAAACCAGGGAGTGTATATTTTTGAGATTCAGTGGTACTATTCTTCAGGTTGAGCAGAGCCCTCTCCCCCCGATACAGCTCCCAGGAGGATAAGGAAGCCCCAGGAACGACATGAGGAGGGTGTCTGCAGTGGAACAGAGGAATTAGTGGAAATTGCCAATTTAATCTGGATCCAGCCCACTTCAGTTTGTGCTTCTTAATCTCAGTTTGTTATCTAGTTGCACCCATTGCTAGAAAAACCATTAGGTAAGAAAAATATAAATGGAGAACCAATCATGTGTGCAAAGACAGTGACTAATGTAGACCAAATCTATGAAGTATTCATAGAATCATAGAGCTGAAAGGGACCCCAGGGTCATCTAGTCCAACCTCCTGCGCAGTACAGGAAATTCACAAATCCCCCCCCCCCCGAATGACCCCGGTTCCATGACCAGAAGATGACAAAAAACTTCCAGGATCTCCAGCCACACTGGCCTGGAGAACAATTGCTTCCTGACCCCAAAGAGGCAATCAGCATTCCCCTGGGCATGTAAGAAAGGGCCACAAGAACTAAGCACGGAACGATTCCTAGAAAGCAGTTCCTCAGCACCATGGTATGAAAAAGAAACAGGACTGGAGGGAGAGCTACAAAAATAAAGGGGTGGGTCTATAGAGATTTATGCTATAAAGGCCTTGTGTGGAAGTCCCATAGTGCAAGATCAGGGGTCATTTCCTGCAGGAGTGCACAGGAATGGAGCTCTGGCGGTAAAGAGCCCAGGGGGCGGACACATGCAGCAAGCCCCACCCCCTGCTCCCAGCAGCCCTCAGTCAGAGCAAGAAGCAGCCAGGTAAGTTGCAGAGCCCCCCCTCGGCCCAAAACAGTCCAGCGGCACCATAAAGACCAAATTTTATTCAGGTCGAAGCTCTCCTTCCTCTGTGAAGACAGATCTGCACGTCCCCCCCCCAATAGCTAGCAATCCAAAACAGTCCAGTGGCACCAGGTTTTATTCAGGTACAAGCTCTCCCTCCTCTGTGAGGACAGATCTGCGCGTGTCCCCCCACCCAATAGCTAGCAATCCAAGACAGTCCAGTGGAGCCTGAACGGTGGGTGTTGCCTTCTGACACACTTCCGGTGATGTCAGGGGGTGTGGCATATGCAAATAAGTTATACTAATGAGCTCTTGCACCTCTTTTTCTACGAAATGACCCCTGTGCAAGATAATCCCTTCCAGGTATTTTGCTACCCAAACACCAACGCTTTAACCAGCCTGTGGTTCTCTGGGGTCTGTGGTTGTTGGAGACCGAGACCCAGCCATGCGTGTGAGGCTGGTGGAGTCTGTGTGTGGTTTTTGCCTGGACGCTCCGTTGCTTCGCCTCACCGTGCCTCTCACACAGTAATACGAGGCCGTGTCTGCAGCTGTCAGGGAGCTCAGCTGGAGGTAGGCCTCATTCCTGGAGGTGTCCCTGGTGACGCTCATTCGGCTGCTGAAGGCTGGGTTGTACCGGGTGGTTCCTTCTCTCGAAGAGCTTCGAATGAATCCCAGACTCTCCATGCTTCTCCTCGGGAGTTGTCGCATCCAGTGCCAGTAATAATCACTGACTTGAAACCCGGAGACGATGCAGGTCATTTTGAAGGACCCTCCTGGCCGCACCATTGCTGGGCCAGACTGCGTCACCTGGGGAATAGAAAAAATGCCTGGAAAAAAAAGGGGAGGGAAGAGTCAGTTCCAGTATTCTTGCTTGCCGCACCCCTCATTGATTTTTAGGAAGTGCACAAACCATCACCTGACGCAATGCTGCACAGAATGAGAAAAGTCACACTTGCTTCCATCTCTTTTCCTTCTCTCTCAACCCCTCTCTCTTTCTTTCACATACAGAAGGAAATGGATAGAGCCGGGCCCTGGAACTGCGGCAGAGGGTGCTATTTAAGAAGGAGGAACCCGTTGGGAAGATTTGCATAAAGGGCATACGGCCCCGAAGCAGAGTGGATAAAAAAGCAACTCAATTGCCAGGCTTTGCAGATTGAGAGTTCAAGCATAAGAAGAAGAGAAGAGATTGGATTTATACCCCGTCCTTCACTCAGAGTCTCAGAGTGGCTTACAAACTCCTTTCCCTTCCCCTCCCCACAACAGACACCCTGTGAGGTAGGCGGGGCTGAGAGAGCTCTGACAGAAACTGCCCTTTCAAGGACAGCTCTTGTCAGAACTATGACTTGCCCAAGGTCATATCGGCTGCTGTGCTCTGCTCGCTTTCTTCCGAGTCCGAAGTGTGGATGTCCGCAGGGCTGCCTACCTGCTCTAACATCCCACCTTCGTCGCCAATTGTTAGATCGCGCTAACAAAGGACTCTTAGAGTGATTCAGCAAGTGATTCAGCTTTATTGGAAGTAACGAGCAAGCACTAACTCAGTAAGAAACCAGAACAGAAAACAGTGGGAGCTTATGCTCCTTTTAAACATAACCGGGCTAATGTAGCCACGCCTATTTACAATTAACAACCAATGAGATTGCTTAGTTAAGGACCAATGGGAGTCTTTCCCTCCTAGGGAATGGTATCGTTCTGATTGGTCGCTGTTACGAAGCGACCAATAGGAAGTTCGCTCAGAGGAGCCCTGGTCTGGCTTGAAGCTTAACATGGGAGTCCTATGAGGTGATTCATGTAATCATTTCAATACATTACAAGCTGCGAGTGGAGGAGTGGGGAATCAAACCCGGTCCTCCCAGATTAGAGTCTGCACACTTAACCACTACACCAGACTGGGAAGAGAAGTTGTGGAGTCCCGGGGTGCTGATCTTGTGACTATGGCCCATTCTGCAGCTAGCATTCGCTCTGTTGTTTTACCAAACTCACAATGAAATAGAAGAACATGCGGCTCAAAACCACATTCAAATACCCCAGGCCAATGCCATACTGACTGCAGAGTCACCCCTGAACGGCTATAAAACGGCCATAGATCTATGCAGACAGTACCATGAAACCGAGAGATCAAAGGAAGTCAAACCGGCATGCAGTGTGGAGGCTACCATAAAATCCGACAATCAAAAAAAGTGAACGTGGCATGCAGTGCAGAGGGGAATTTCTGTTCCAACGTGGGTTTGGTGAAACAGTGGAGTGAATGCTGGATGCCGAATGGGCCTATGGATGATCCTGCATTGGCTTTTCCCACCGTTGTTTTAGCAAAACCACGTTGGAGCAGAAATTCCCCGCTGCATCACATGCTGCTTTCACTTCCCTTGATCATCGGATTTTATGGTAGCCTCCACACTCCATGCCGCTTTCGCTTCCTTTGATCATCGGGTTTTATGGTACCGTCTGCATAGATTTATGGCTTTTTTATAGCCGTTCAGGGGTGACTTTGCAGTCAGTATGGTGTTGGCCCGGGGTATTTGAATGTAGTTTTGAGTTGCACTTTTTCCTCCCAGTTGAGAAAATGTGGAGTGAATGCTAGATGCAGAATTGCCCTGCCTTACAAAAAAGGAAAGTATTCTTTAGGGAAGAAAACCCCCAGCAACTATATAGTAAAGGCTGAAAGGCATTTGAAACGTCTGAGTAACAGCATTACTTTGCTCCAGAAAAAATGTTCAGAAGCAACAACTTTTGAGAACTGCAGTGAGGGAGAGAGTAGGCAAGCAAAGTAAATAATCAGGTTATTGTAGGGTTGGAATTGAGTGTCCTAGGTGTCACGCACCAGCCCTTAATTCACTGGCCCATCAAAACAACTGGTCAGAGAGGGGAATTGCAAGTGCTGTTGTACAAATAGATCCCCAAGCCAAAAAGGGAAGTCAAAATGAGGAGGAAAATTCATTGGTTATTTAATTGCAATGAAACAATTGAAAACAGTGAGGCCAAACCAGCCTATCACAAATTGACTGCTTTCTGATCAATATCAGGAAGCTCATGAAATTTTATACCCAGAATGACATAGAAAGAGAACATGCATAAATCGTAATTGCTCACAAAATGTCAGAGCATCATCTAAGTAGTCATTGATTCATTGGTCAGTTACAGGAAAAGGGGTGCCTACATGATATCTTGAATGTTTATTTAACTTAACCTTCATAATAATACCCAAGGATTTGAAATCTGATATGAAACTAAAGCCCTTTTTGACCCAGACACTGAAGAAGGAGGAGGAGGAGGTGGAGGAGAAGGAGATTGGATTTATACCCCACATTTCACTCAGAGTTTCAGAGTGGCTAACAAACTCCTTTTCCCTTCCCCTCCCCACAGCAGACACCCTGTGGGGTAGGTGGGGCTGAGAGAGCTCTTTCAAGAACTGCCCTTTCAAGGACAGCTCTTGTCAGAACTATGGCCTGCCCAAGGTCATCCAGCAGCTGCGAGTGGAGGAGTGGGGAATCAAACCCGGTTCTCCCAGATTAGAGTCCGTGCACTTCCCCACTTACACCGAACTGGCTTTCACTGCAGAGTTTTACCCCAAACAACTAAAACCACGAACTCTATACTTGAAGCAAATACATCTGTCGAAAAGCCTGTCTTCTGCTGTACCAGCAATACTGCACTGAAGGCCTCTTAAAAACACCAGACAGCTAGACAGCGATTTCATCCAAACAACATGCAAGAAGCAAAAAGAATGTTGTTCCTTGTCTGCCAGCATCAGCGAAAAAGACACTCTAACCTGCAAAGGAGAGGCCTTACCACTGAGTAGGCTGTTATTAAATCCTAATAAAAACTTAATATAAAAATCCATAAACCCAGAAAAATATAAGGATATCCCCATCCAGCTACAGCCGCCTCCAGAGAGTGGCTGGAACCTCTGGCCATTCCATACTCAGGTGACTGAGAACAGCCAAGGGTCTTGACTTCTTCCTATATATCCATCAGGGGTTAGCTTCCCTCGGGAGTCGAAGAAACTCGTCACCTACAGAAGCAACCTGACAGGTCCTTGGTGCCTTGCAAGCACCATCTGCCCCTTATAACCTTCGGCTTCCGTTCACACGAAGAATAATACCCTTTGTTGCTTTATCTGGTCTTGCATTCTGAGAACTTCTGCATTATTTAAATAGGAAGAAGTAAGAATATGAAAGAATGTCTTGTAAGAAACAGAGATTAGAAAGTGTCCCACCAGTGAGGGCAAAACAGTCCCCGTGAGACAGAGGCATTGGCTGGTGTTGACCTTGTATTAGGGGACTGTCATACGCTGCAGTGGTTTCCACTCTCCCTTTGGGAGGAGGTTGGGGGAGGGGCTCTGTTTCCCCAACTCTGGATATAGGACCTTCTGCTTGGCACGCAGAAGGTCCTAGGTTCAATCCTGGCATCTCCAGTTAAAAGGAACAGGTAGTGGATGCTATGAAAGACCTTCACCTGAGACCAGTCCTGACCCTGATGAACCAATGGTCAGATTCAATATAAGTGACCTCATAGCCTTCAGTGACTGGTGCCATTTTCGTTGCCCCTCCCCATGGCCTTGGCTGCTGTAGCTGCCTCCCATCTGGCAACTCTGAGGTCCAAGAGCTGCTTCATGGATCCCAGCTGTTTCTCTTCTCTCCCAGCCGCGTTCAGTCTCCTGAGCCTCTGCTGCTATCATCTTCAGTCCCCCCACTCATCCGCTCATTGCCTGCTTTTGAACATGGGGCTCACCCATGCAGGTCCCGCCCCTGTGCTGGTGTCGCTTCGCCCATGACAGCCTGGCCAAATTGTCTTTTAGTCGGGCTGTTTGATGTTTTCTGATGCTGAGGCCTTGGGGACCTGCTCTGATGGCCACGAGCAGGTTAATGGTGAAGAGCCACTGGTCTAAAAGGCTACCAGGTTTACCTGACTGTTTCCCCACCTCTGTTGGAGGCCAGGCTGTATGCCCATAGCCCCCACTTCTGGAACTCCATGCCTGAAAAGGATGGTTTTGTCCCAGCCTTTTGGAGCTAGATTAAGACTCCCCCCAAAGCCAAGGAGCTCAGGTTGAAATACATGGGACCCTCTCCGTTTCCGCCTCTCAGGAACTCTGCAAGAGAAATCAATCTGAGAAATTGATTGGACTAAACTCACCCAGTTAGCTGCAGGGAAAAAGGGGTATTTAAACCCAAGTATCTCCCAGCTTAATCTCACATGGGCCAGAAAACACAGGGGGGAGGCGTGGCTTCTTGCACCATCACAATCTGATGCGCGATTAGGTGATCAGACTTGACGGCGGCACACCGGGGTTTCCACCATCGGTGTGCGCAACAAAGAGGACGCTGGCGCGATCACACCACAGGAGTCTGGAGGCAGCCTGTGGCAAACCATTTGCTGGTAGGTTGAATCTGGTAGCTTTTAACTACGCGGCTTTGGCGGCTTGCTGCGGGTTGGCCACAGGAGTGCTACGCCTCCCAGATGTTCCGGTGAGATTGCGCCCGGAAAATTTGCCGCAGTATCGTACCTTCAGCGGTGCAAATGCTCCGTGTGATTACACCTCTGAAAGACCCCCATAATACATTGGATTCTTTTGGGGCTCTTATGGGACCTTAGTGCTTGCACTGGGACTGGCCTTACCTCGAAATGTTTGATTTTCTCCCCAAGGTTACTGTGCCTCATAATTTTCTATTTCTGTGCAGTGGTCTCTTTGGCCGGGGGTATCGATATGTGCCTCCCACTCCAACTCTGGTTTGGGAAATTCCTCAAGATTTGGGGGTGGAGCCTGGGGAAGTCAGGGTACAATGCCACAGAGTCCACCCTCCAAAGCAGCCATTTTCTCAACGGGAACTGTTCTCTGTTGTCCAGAAATCACCAGGAACTCCAGGAGATCTCCAGGTCCCACCTGGATGTTGGTGACTCTGTTCCTACTGAGGAACTCCAGCTTCTATATCCAGAGTTGGAGGAATATGTTTGGTGTTTGTGGAACTCAAGGACTACAGCTTTAGGAGTTAGGGTGCCAGAAGACAATTTGGGATGACCAGGTTAGAAACTGCACATCTGCTATAGAAGCTTGCTGGGAGATCTTGGGCCTGTCCCAGTCCCTCTACCTAAGAGTTTTGTTGTTGTGTGGATTAAGTGGATTAGGGGAGAGCCATGCGAAAAGCCACTTTCAGATCAGGGGGAAATAAAAAAAGGAGGATGCTTTTCTTCCGCGCATATAAAGAAATCTTTGGATACAGAAAGCCCTGCGTGTTTCCAATAGATGGGCCTACTTGGACAGCAGTCTGTTTGAAGTCCTAGCACGCTTCCCCTTTTTTTGTGCAGAGTCCTGCTCGAGTCTGTCCCACTGTGTGTCTTGCACAGTAATACGTGGCGGAATCTGCAACCGTCACCGAGGTCAGCCTCAGAAAGTACTTGGTTTCCGAAGGATCCACCGAGATGGTGATTCGGTCACTGAAGGCTGGAGGAGAATACGTGCTAGCAGTCCAGTATTCCCTGCGTGTTTACAACCGAGGGGCCTCTTTGGAGAGGAGCCTGCTTGAAGTCCCAGCCCACTTCCCCTTTTTGTGCGGCTTCCCACTTGAGTCTGCCCCACTGTGTCTCTCGCACAGTAATATGTGGCAGAATCTGCAGCCGTCACCGAGGTCAGCCTCAGGAAGTACTTGGTTTGCGAGGGATCCACCGAGATGGTGATTCGGTCTCTGAATGCTGGAGCATAGTTGGTGCTCCCAGTCCAGTACCCCATCCAGACCAGCCCTTTCCCAGGAGACTGGCGAACCCAGTGCCACCAGTAGCTGTTTGTGACTGAACCCCCGGTGACCGTACAGGTCAACTCGAGGGTCTCTCCAGGTCTTACCACTTCTGGCCCGGATTCTTTTAACTGGAGTTGGGATGAAACTCCTTGGAGAGGAAAAGAAAGCCAGTGTTAGATGAGGATAGCCATGCCTGAAAAACATTCTCTCAGGAAATCACACCCACACACCCACTTTACCCCAAAAGTCAAGAACAGTGCTGAATATCCATAAGATCCACAGAATGAAATTGCCAAAGCAGCAGTTTTTCCTGTTGGCTGGCTTGTGGGGTAGACTGGGAGGGTTTTAGGAGACACCAACCTAGGGAGGAAGCCAGGAGAAACAGAGAAACAAAGCCAGGTGCCATGATAAAGAGAAATTTAAAAGGGGACCAGGATGTGTAATGCAGCTTTTCCTTTGAGACAGACTGATGATACGAATTCAGCTGCTCCAAGCTTGTATTTCAATAGGGGGGCCAGTCAGAGAATTTGCATATTGCCAGACCACGTTTTGGTAAGAGGCCTGTAGAAAACCTTGTAAAGCCAGACGCATCTAGGAGAACCTGCATATGCTGTTTCACATCTTGGGCTGACGGTGTTGCAGGGGTAGTGTGAGACAGGAGTGTTCTGACTTACTACAGAGCTTAGAGGGGTATGGATGATATCGAAAGGAACCACGACAAAATCAGGAGAGTGGAGCAGAAGAGGATAGATAACATCAGAAGAGACCACTGGCTCATTTGAAGCCCAACTGATACAGCTTGTTGCTGATTTTCTCTGCAGCAGATTGGGTTAATCTCTGGAAGGGGTTACTTTGGAGAGTTCAACGGGGGGGGGGGGCTTGATAGACTTGGGGCTCTAACTGGGGGCTTCCCAGCCTCTTGTGCCTCATGCAGAGATGAAACAGGCACCCTTTCCTGTGTGTGTGAAGTGCTGTCAAGATGGAGCCAATTTACGGCAACTCCAGTCAAGGAGCTTTCGAGGGAAGCGAGAGGCAGAGGTGGTTTGCCCGGGGGGGGGGGCTTGATAGACTTGTGGCTCTAACTGGGGGCTTCCCAGCCTCTTGTGCCTCATGCAGAGATGAAACAGGCACCCTTTCCTGTGTGTGTGAAGTGCTGTCAAGATGGAGCCAATTTACGGCAACTCCAGTCAAGGAGCTTTCGAGGGAAGCGAGAGGCAGAGGTGGTTTGCCCTTGCCTTCCTCTGCAGAGTTTTCCTTGGCGGTCTCCCTTCCAAGTGCCGACCTGTCTTAGCTTCCAAGGTCTGACAAGATTAGGTTATACCATGTTTCCCTCCCTCCCTGCAGCCTCTTCCAATAGCACACAATTCTGTTGCATCTTGGACATTCCAAACAAACTGAGGCCACTGCACCCTCGACATATAAGATAAAGAGTTAAAAGAGGAATGTAAAGATCAAGCATAAACCTACCAAACAGAAAGCTACCAGACATAAGAGGTACAGATTTCCTTTGTTTAGAGTAGTAGACCACCAAATTGGTTGTAGTTTAAACCTGACTGCATGAAATGGGAATTATAGTTCAAAAGTCATTCTTATATATGGGAACAGATCTGATACTAAAATAGTATGTTATTATGTTATATCTGTTGAGGTTTGATGACAACTTTGTTGGGGATTAACTGGCTGGTTTGTAATGTTGGATTCTCAGAACTTTTGTACACTGTTATGCAGGTATTGTACATGTTATATGTAATATTTGATTTTAATAAACATTTTAAAAGCAAAATAATAATAATAATAAATTCCAACACCTGGTAGTGCAGTGGACTATTCAACCAGACTCAAATTTAGCTCCGTCTTTCTTGGTGCACACACACACACAGAGAGAGAGAGAGAGAGAGAGAGAGAGAGAGAGAGAGAGAGAGAGAGAGAGAGAGAGAGAGAGAGAGCATGTATGTATGTTACTTTAATTTATTCCATCTGCCCATCCAATTACACGGTACATTGATCTATGGGAGGAAACAGAAGACAGGACAGACTTCCTTTGTGAGGTTTATTTTGTATTTCCTGAAGAAAGCAAGATGTCACTATTATGTTTCATGCTTTATTACACAAAATTCTTCATAGTGGCATCATGGCTTGAGACAAGACTACTACAGATGCAGAAGATGCCTTAGATAGACGCAGTGACCTCGAGAAGGGATGAGAAAGTGGAAGAATGTGCTAGTCACTGAGTGTGAACTTGCAGAGAATTATATAGATATAAGATTCTCTTTATGGATGCTACAATGCAGGTACAAATAAGATGTATGTGTGCACAAATTTCTTGAAAAGAAGAGCAAGATTTTTTTTATATATGCACGTACCTGGACACATTTTGCAGCGCTGACTGTTTTTCAAGTTGGCAATAAAGGATGGATGGAGATTTTGATGGCTTTTTAAATCACGAACTGCAAGGATTTCGACGTCGCTTTGCTCAAAGGAGAGGACAACCCCCTCTTGGATCTGCTGCCCTTTTGTTAGAGATTTGAATCTCCAAGATTTTTTGGTGTGTGGACTGTATTGCTAACGCTCTCAGCAACTTGTGAAACATACTCCAAGGTACAACGTCTCTATGATGTCACCAATAAACCCTGGTCTGTGTGATAGCCTAAAATATACAATGAAACATAAAGGGGAGTGATGGTTCAGCTCAAGGCAGATATCCTGACTTGGCTTAGACTGCAATCCCAAGTATATGTAAACTGGAAGTAAAGGTAAAGGTAAAGGTTCCCTTGCTCGAAAGCCAGTCGAGTCTGACTCTAGGGTTGCGGTGCTCATCTCCATTTCAAAGCCGAAGAGCCAGCGCTGTCCGAAGGCATTTCCGTGGTCGGCATGACTAAACACCAAGGCACACGGAACGCTGTTACCGTCCCACCGAAGTGGTCCCTATTTATCTACTTGCAATTTCTTGCTTTCAAACTGCTAGGTTGGCAGGAGCTGGAACTAGAGACGGGAGCTCACTCCATCATGCGGCACACTCGGGTCTCGAATTGCTGAACTACTGACCTTCCACAGCCTGCAGTTCAGCGTCTTAACCACTTGAGCCACCGCATGCAAGCGTTTCCTTTTCTTATCCATTTATCCCATGTCAACATTACTATAAATCTCTTTGGTGGAACACAAGAATGAAAAGGTTAGAACTACTCAGTATTAAATAGCAGTTAATGAGAAATTCAAAATTGTAAATTAAATGAGTTTATTGTTGTCTGTTGATGGGCTTATTGTCTGTTATTATCTATGGGCTTATTGTCTGTTATTATCAATGGGCTTATTGTCTGTTATTATCTATGGGCTTATTGAATTTTTTACCTTCTTGTCCTTGGTGTAGGATTTCCTACCTATCTGTGTAAACGGTTGTGTTCTCCCCCTTCTCCACCCCCCAAGTTCGCTTTCTTTGAAGTTCTCTCTGGTGTGTAGACAGAGATATTGGGGAGATGTTAGGATGGGTCAGCATGAATTACATGAGGGGGATCATTTGTGGTGGTTTCTCTTCTTCCAAACTGATGGAATCCAAGATTACTTGAAATGGTTATTTATGGGCCAAAAGAGGATTGTTTCCAGTCTGGGATGCATTGGCTACAAAACACATAATAGAGGATTTGCTCTTTGTTGACTTTTTCCTTGCATTAATACTAGACCATCTGTTTTTGACAGGCTCTTCACCACTGTGGAGCTGACAGCTACAATTGAGTCATAGTCATAGCTCAGAGTATAGCCAGCAGCACATTGATACACACTCATACCAAAATTGCATTTGAGAAAAATTACTTTTTCAGACTGCCATACATTTTTTTAAAAATCACACAGAGAATTTGGAAAAAAGCAGAAATGTTTCCTCTCCAGCGCATCTGATGATGTGCTCTCTAGTCTCTGCCGGAATGATGGGGTTCATCTGAAAAGTGCCATCCATCCCTTTGCAGCTGTTGTCCTAGACTTGCAGGCAGTACTTTGCAGCTGTATAATTCTTCCCTTATCCACAACCTTATCCTTAACTTTAAGTGTTCCCTGATTTACAACTTGATCTTGAATCTGTTTCCTTGGAAGGTAACCTCCCACTGAAATCAGTGGGGTGGGTGGGTTCCTTTTTAAAAAAAGCATATTTAGACTTGTCATTCACGGTCCTTCACCTGCTTAATCTGGGGGAGCTTCACATTACCTTATTATTTTAAGTTCTTTGGACATCACATGCAGAGAAGCAGCTAAGAAAGTACTCAGTTGCAAGAATGGATGACAAACCCACTTTGATGGTGCGAACATGAAAGGAAAAGGTCCTTGCCCTTAAGATTTTTGTAATATGAAAAGGGAGCTATCAGAAGGAGGGGAGGGGGATCATGAGGGAGGAATGTGTGTTGTCACGGATACGCTGTCTTTGCAACAGGATGGGAATGGTGTGTTCGACTCATTCCTGCATGGCATCTGGGGTTATTTTTTTGAACGGAAAGGCAAGATGTAGATTCTCAAGCCATTATGAAAGAGGAAGGGTAGGTTTGGGAGGATGACGTAGGCAAGTAGCTGGGCGACGCTCTGGTAATGGGACTGGAAACGCGATGGTACCGTCGAGTTTCCAGCCCCATTGCTAGAGCGTCACCCGGCTACATACCTACGTCACGTCTGGGCGACGGAATAGTGCAGTGCCTGTGTTTTCCCTGTGGGAATGGTCCCGTGAAGAACTACATATCCCCCGCCGAATCAAGGTAAGTACTTCGAAGCCCTGACCCCAATACAGTGGTATACTGTTGAACGCATTTCTCCACATGCTCTACATTTAACAATGGCGCATCTTGCACCATTCTTTCAATTCGAAAGGGTTTGTAAGTTGGACACAAGACTATATAAGATTTTTTTTTTGGGGGGGAAAGCATATATAGAGGGTTTTTTGTTTTTGGAAAAATATGTGTAGATTTATGGCCTTCTAGGAATATCAGTCTTTCAAAAGGTATGGATTGTAAATAATATATTTTATCTCACAACCAATGCTCCCTCTAAGCTGTGGAGTCTTGTGAGCAAAAAGTCTACGGCTGCTGCCACACACGCTAAATAATCCACTTTCAATCCACTTTCAGTGCACTTTCCAACTGGAGTTTTACTGTGTGAACTGGCAAAATCCACTTTGAAAGTGCACTGAAAGTGGATTGAAAGTGGATTACTTAGCGTGTGTGGCAGCAGCCATTGTGAGTTACTGGCATGAAAGTTGTGGGTGAGCAGTTTGGCTACTGCATCAATTAGTTTGCTCTGGAGGTAAGTCAAGAATGGGTGAGCTGGAAGCTAAAAAAACTGTGAGCTAGCTCACATTAACTCAGCTTAGAGGGAACACTGCTCCCAACAGATCTGGCTGTAATTGAAAACCAGCTGCAATTTAAAGACAGTTTGCAACTTCCACTACCTGTAGAAGGAGGTATGTCTTGATGAAGTCCAGGGAAAGGGTCAAACAGTACAGCCTTTTGCAGCCACCTACTGGTAATTATATAGAAATGCAACACTCTCATTTGGAGAAAAGAAATTTCAGATGGTGGTTGGCGATAGAACAGTTAGATTTGAGTTCCCTAGCACCACTGGACTTGTATCTAGGAGAAAAGAAGACCCTGTGGATGATGATGATGATGATGATGATGATGATAATAATAATAATAATAATACTTTCAATTTATTAATCGCTTTCCCCCGTGGGCTCAAAGCAATGTACAGTTACACATTTTAGACAGGGGACTAACAATGTTCATAGGGGATAGGGAAGACAACATATATTCATTTAATTGCACACGCTGTTACTGCACGGTGTAAACATCTTTTGGCTTGGCTCAGTCATTTTCCGAACGGCTGCTTGTCGACCAGGCTTGTCGATAATCATTTTATCCCCTCATAATCTTCAATTTACTCGGGTGAATCAGAAATTGAAATAGCTTTTGTAACTGCACTTTCACTTTTTTTTTTTAACAGTAAGCTCAACATTGATCCAGCCTGTTCCTAGGATACGTTGGCTTGGATTATGGTACTTTTTATAACAAATCTCCTATCATTCTGTCATGTCGGTTTCACTCTCTCCTTCCATCTTGCAATAACTCAAATGTGAAACTGGTGATCGCCTAACAAAGATAGACTTTTTGGCAACTAAAACGGCTGTCCTTGCCAGAGGACTGGGAGATAGAAAACACTGATTTTTTTAAAAAAATGGATCAAGGGAGAACCAGTAAATTAAGGACATTTGACCAGAACTGTTGTTAATAAGCTGGGAGAAACATTCTTTAAAATACGATTCTAAGGCACATAGAAGAACTGTTGCTGCAATAACAGTAATACTTATCTTTTTATCTTCCACTTGCACCTGGCTGGATGACCTTGTGCAAGCCATAGTTCTGATAAGAGCTTTCTGTCAAGAGTTCTCTCAGCCCCACCTACCTGACAGGGTGTCTGTTGGGGGGAGGGGAAGGAAAAGGAGTTTGAAAGCCGCTCTGAGACACCTTTGGGTAGTGAAAGGCAGGGTATAAATCCAATCTCTTCTTATTCTTATTCTTATTCTTTATTAGAAGCAATCAAAATGTCACAAACAAGAGAGTGCAAGATTTGCCAGTACTCTTCTGCAGGTTTAACACTTTAAACACTTAAAGGTGGGGTGGGGGGGAGAAGATGTTTAGGGCATGATGGAAAAGCTCCAACTATGTGAGTAGTTTGTATCTTTCTGAAGATGGAGAGCAGGAGGTGTGGCAGACTGAACTGGATTACTTTTGGGGGCTCTGATGAATGGCTGCTATTTAGATGCTCAGAGGCAAAGACTCCACTTTTTGTTTCTTCACCTGAAGAGCTACTGGCAGTGTTTCCTCTAAGCTGAGTTAGTGTGAGCTAGCTCACAGTTTTTTAGCCTCCGGCTCACACATTTTTGTCTTTGCTCAGGGAGAATGGCTCCAGAGCAAACGGCGAAGCCGTGGGTCAAATGCAGCCCCACCGCTTTGGGTGTGAAATTGACCAATAGTATCGGTGCAAACGGTGGCGCAACATCGAGGCAGCTCTAGTGCAAAATCAGCCATTCTGAGTTAAGTCATTACACATTCCCAGTTCCTCAACATGCTGGCAGGAGGAAGAAAAAGAACTGGAGGGAGAGCGATGGAAATAAAGGGGTGAGCCTATAGAAATGTGTTTTTAAGGGCTCGTATGGAATCCGATCAGGCAGGGTATTCCCCTCTGCCAATCAGGGTGATGGGCATTTTGCTACATAAACACCAAAGCTTTAAGCCGACTGACAGGAGTTTCTCTATGGACAGTGGCTGTTGGAGTAAAAAAGTATTAGGTTCGATACATCAGGACTCGGACCACGACATAGGCGAAGACGGATTTATTAG